CCATGTTGAAGCCTTCAAAAATATACGAGGAGTAGCTTGACAAGGGGCCCCAGTTGGTGACGGTTGTTGTGACATGCAAAAGTTGATGAACATTGTATGTCATATTCTGCTTTCCATATAACTCCTCGAATCTGCAAACGAATTTCGACAAGCAGGCATTTGCTTTATTTAGGTCTTGGCAGGAAATGGAAGAGCTGGTCAACAGAAAGGCAGCTTCTATCAGGAGTAGAAGGTGACTGTAAAAAGGCTGAGGAAGAATGTCAAATAATACAACTGGAGAATAGAGCATGAGCCACCAATGCCATTCGGAACCTTTCCAATATCTGCGTTGATTAACTGATCTAGGGATTCGTGTTATTTCATTTGGTGGATTAATCAGGTTAAGCCGTTTATCTACAGAATTGATCATGTTTCCAATGTACCAAGGCTCTTGGTGATTTGAGGACTCGAACCACAAATGACCAAGTTGTCGTGCTACACCTAAATCAATACAATGCAGGTTGTCCACAACAAAACCAGATACTAGGTCAAATTGAGGCAATTTGACAAGTCTCGTCGGACCTTTCACGCCCAATTCTGCATCATTTATGTCAAATGCTTTACGTGCATTCTCAACCATACTAGCATGCGTTCTTAAAATTTCACCTTCATCATTAAACGGATAGACTCGGCAATTCCCTCGTCCCTTGGCTACCACCTCTCCAGGATTAAAACACCAGCTGCAGCCACAACGACCATTAAATTGCTTTATATTTTGCAAGATGCATCTGGCAACGCTATCCGCTGAACATACACAAGCATGAACTGTAGATACAACAAACTCACTAGACAATTTTACCCAATGAAGTCCAGTGGAACCAAGGACTTTCATTTCATCAGTGAATGGTTCCAGGAATGTAGAAACAACAGGCTTCATAGAACCAAACCAAAGCGCTATTAGAAAAACGTTATCTTTTCTTTCTTTAGGAGGCAGTTCGTTTGAAATGCCTTGTAGAGGCCAAATGCTATAGTTTGAAGATTTAAATATAGGAACACCATCACAATTGAATGACACACTGAGTGCATTTGGATCACTCATCAACTTCCCATCGGCAATTTGCTTGTACATTTCACCGTCATAGATATCTTCGTAGTTCTGTTCCTCATCCTTAACTCTTGAAAAACGATGATCAAGCTTAGATGCAATATCTGGCCTTTGAAGTAAATCCGATAGCTGATCTTTAAGTGGCATATACACAAAGAAACATCCTTTTTTCATCAAAGCTTCATGTGAATAATCTACATCGCACACTTCACAATGGACACAACTTTTTGTACCAAGCCCTGTATAGCATTCTGGGCAATATAAATGAAGGTTGGTACCTTTGCGAAACTGCTTGAAGTACTTGTCGAACAGAAACTTGGTGTCAGGAAGAAGATTCCCAGTCGGCAACAACAACGCAAGCAGTTTTAACAAATCAGTAACAGCAGAAGCGGTGAGACTGTTACCAAGAATGAATGACATCAACAGCAGCAAGCACTATCCCAGGGTGAATTTGCAGCTTCCATACAACGGCACATCAAGGTCATTGGGAATCTTAAAAATTTAATAGTTTGTTTAGCAATTAATAATTCAATTGCTTCACTGTCATGGATTAAATGTCAAAAAAACTAAATTACATGCACAGCTTATACTTCACAGTCAGAAATAGAAAATGTACAACATAAAATACAAATACTATAGTTTAATACCATACACAATAAAAAAAATTTTATCATAACAATAATAACTTGGAATATTTACCTCTTTTTCATTATTAATTCCTTCATTCTCTAAATCCTCACTACTAAGAGAGGGATCACTTCTATCATTCTGCTGTTCCTGAAGTAAATATTAATTAAGAATTGGATGCAAAATATTGAGTGCATTGTACATGTAAGACATCATTACCATGTTGGATGCATATTTATACACTATATATACACATAATGTATAACAATCACCTCATTTACTTCTTCATTTACAACCACTTCATTCTCCAAATCCTCACTACTAATGAAAGAGTCATTTTCACTGTCTTCCTTCTGAAAATACATGAAATAGCAAAATCTTAAAATTAAAAGGCCAAAATGGAACACATTTAATTTCAACAAATGGCATTTGAAGTGCCTAAGTGTTTAGGGAGGCTATAAGGAAATCTCCAACAAATTCAGTAATTAAGTTACTGTACGTGGCAGGTACATAATAGAATATAAAACCAAAACTAATTACATCTGACCAGAATAACATCTGAAGTTTGCTGTGATTCCACCCCCAAGATTATGATTACAAACCCCAAATATCCCTTTCCATTAATTCCTCTTTATTTAAATATATCATGAATAAAATGCCTGGCATGTGGTTCATGTCAGACATCATTGCCATGTTGGATGCATATTATATACACTACCCATATAATGTATAACAATCACCTCAAAAACATTTACTTCTTCTTCATTTATAATCGCTTCTTCATTTATAATCACATTCTCCAAATCATCACTACTAATGAAAGAGTCACTGCCATCATTCTGCTAAAATAGTAAAGAAATAGAGTTATTAAAATCAAGCATGAAATACACCAACCTAATAATTAATAATAGCCTTTATAAATGATTATTAATGAATTGCAACACTACCAGTATTTAAATGCCCAACATATTGCTCAATCTGCTGTCAGATGTTCTTTTTAAAACTTAATCTGGTAGACTGAAAATCTAATTTTCACTCAAATGTAATAAGTAGAATGAACCAGAAAACAATTTATTATGTTACATCCAGAATATTTCATCGAAGAAATCATAAAATTCACATATAAGCCTTATGCTCGGTCATGTTTAAAAACAATTACCTCATTAACATTTCCTTCATTCTCTGATCCTTCGAGAAACGAAGTACTTCTATCATCCTGTTCCTGCAGAAAACGGTAGTACATATAAAGACACTGATTCACTGAACCAATGCATGGAGCTAAAATTATGAAACATCTTTATTTATAGTGTACAACAGAACAGTCAGCCCTTAGCAATTTAACAGGACAATCAGCCCTTGGCAATTCAACAGGACAGTCAGCCTGTAGCACTTTAACAGGACAATCAGCCCTTTATTAAATAATAAATAGCAAATATTCAACACAGTCAGCCTTAGCAAATATATTAACATGTATTTGTAATGGCTATATAGAAAGGACACTTACCGCGTTTACCGATTGATTTGCGTTGGACAACATATGATTTTCTTCATCAACTTGTTTGTCCTCTGTATAGCTATTCTGTGCAGCTTGCTGTTCTACTTCGTTACAGCTTCGATTGAAATCCTCGTTGCCTAACAACGTCCGACGCCACTTTGTTGTCCTAGGCATTTCATTGGTGCTTCCTTCGTTAATCCATCTTTTGTAAGGACCTCTACCTCGCCTCACAGGAGAGTTTTCCATTTCTAAATAAGTCCGGCAATAAACTACCCTGCTAGAAGACATTCATCCTCGAAAACATAACTTTCTGAAGTTATTTATATTTGTTCACTGATTTGAGTGATTTCACAGCTGATTTGTTATCATTTTGTTATTTTGTTATGATTGCTTCCACTTCCAGAATTACGAAATTCACGGATAATTTTCTATTTCACTGATGAAGAGATCTGAAAAAAATATCTGTATATTTCCTGATATTTATATTTCGAGATTTCCTAATCATAAATTCCACTGTGCCAAAATCTTCCATTATTATTTCCATTATTATTATGAGAACGAATGAGAACGTTATTGCTCGGCCTCGGATTTGGATTTCCTGAGAAGCCGGAATTTTCCGTGGAAGTGGAGAATGCCCCTTTATATCGCTCAGCGATTCGACCCCCCCGGAGGGTATCATGTATCAAATATCAATACCACCAGTACATGTGCTCTTGACTCGTTAACTTCGTTGCATACTAAACTCTACTCGTTTCCTTGTCGTTGATTATTTTCGAATTTAAAACATGAAATACATAGTTGTATTCTGGATAGAAACGAACGAAACAAGTATTTTGGAAGACAAATGTGTTCGAGACGCAAGCATGCTGACAAATCCCGAGAAAAAAGGGATGATATATTACAGACTGCCAGGGGAAAAGAAAGTTCCGAAAGGCGGTTGGAAAGCTTATTTAGGTCGAGTTGTTTCTGTTCATGGTAAGCTGTTGTTTTATATCTTCAATGAAATCCATATGTTTGAGCGGACCGTGTAATGTTCTGTTTAATATATACATTATTTGTTGTTATTTCCTTCGTTAATTTTGTTTTATATAATATATTATATAAAAGTATAAACTAAAGGCCATTTTGAACTGTTATACTGTTCGTCGCTTTAATATCACTTCTGAATTTTCACTTCTATAGAAACCCATAAAGAGGCATTGGCAAGTGAGAGCGACTTTCTTGCCGAGGATAAAGAAAATTACGAAAGTATTCAGGAGGGAAATACCAGGAAGCGAAGAAAAACGCAAAAATTTATAAACCCATTGTCGACCGATGACGAAAATTCCGCTGAGGAAGACGTGGCCGTAAAGTCAAAGCACTCTGCTGTCAAGGTATATTTGCTTCTCTGTGACCGCATTTTACGCTGCCAGTTGTTTCTGGGGAGTTCGAACTTTGAAGTCTTCAAAGTATTACCTCTAATGTCATGTTTTATATACTCAATGATTCATATTTTAATGGCCAGTTTCAACTTTTAAAATGTAAAGAAAACTATGTGAAATGAAAGTCTATAAAGACACAAACTAATATTGAGCACAGTAATGTTTTCAAAGAGTTAATGTCTTGAACATCTGCAAATTGATATAGATTCCGACTGTTGCTGAAAAAAGAAAACTGGCCCAAAGAAAGTCAGATAAATATCTCGTTGAAATGTCATTGTGTCCAACTGAGACGATCAGTATACCTGAAGAGCCTGAGGAATTGCAAAGCCTGTCAAGAGGAGACCTTATTAAAAAAGTTGTCCACCTTCAGAAAATGCTTTCTGAGGAGAGAAAGAAAAGGCAAACTAAACAACTTCATGATGGTAAAGCTAACTATATGCTTGATGGTATTTGTATCGTATGAGATGGTATTGTCAGCTCTGTAGACTAGTCACTAGTATATCTTACTTATCACCTTATGTTGATTCACTTTGGAAATATATGATATTGATTTGAAATTCTCAAAAGTACTACATATGTTTAATAATAATCCCAGAATCCAGTAGATCATACATGTACTGAACAGTAATATTTCAACATTGACTGTTTACCATATTTTCCTAGATCTTCCAGAAATGCTGGTTAATGCGATGATGGACAAGCGAGTTGTTGAACGACTGCAATTTCTGTCAAAGAGTATGATGCCAAGTGTGGGTATAAAGACAAATCATGGTACTCAACCTTATGTCGCTACCCCTAATGTTATTGGTACTTCAACACCACCACTCCAGACAAGAACTCCAAACCCAGCAAATCATGGTACTCAACCTTATGTCCCTAATGTTACCCCTAATGTTATTACTTCAACACCACCACTCCAGACAAAAACTCCAAACCCAGCAACAAGCCTGAAAACAACTCCATTTGGCAAAAGCCATTCACCAACAGCTGATGGCCAAACAGAGTTTACAAATGGAAGAACACCTGATGATAACCAGGTGTTAGGAAACAGGAAGAAAGTGAGAGTAAGTAATTATGATTTTAACTCTTAAATTATGTGTTTTATACAATCACCAAAAATGGCCAAAAAATTAAAAATGTTGTATATGAACTAACTGGAAGATAGTTGTTGTTATATTGGTCTTATATTATTTTGTTTGGCTTGGTACAATTATAGAATATACCAAGCCAATATTGCATTTATTTTAAAGATCTTTCAGAGGATCAATTTTAGAGTATAGAACTGCTCTGGTTTTAAAAAATAGTGTTCACTCTTGTTCTGTGAAAGTCCTATTAACTCATTAAGTAGCATAAAACAAAGCACATGTATCTATCTATAAGACTATATGGCATTCACTGTTAAGAGTTGGGTTGGCTGGTTAAATTTGTTCTCTTTTGATGTAGTGGCTACTGTGGTGATTATTAATTCTCCAAGATTGTTTGCACATCACATGTTATCTTTAACAATTTTAATGATGAAATCTTTAACAATTTTACTCAAATGAATTTAAAATAAAATAATTTCTCTTTTGTTAGTTGATGCTTACAGCAGCTGCATTAAATGAGGTGGATAGAGCAAAAAATTATCAAAATTAACAAAGACACTGTTGGCAGCTATCTTTGATCGAGAGACGTTGCAGAAGTCGTCTTTAGCTGGCAAAAAGAATAAAGATGAACAACTTGATCCAGCTAAAGTGCAAATGATAATAGGTATGTGTGTACTGTATGTTTTAATGATAAGCTTGTTTTTCAACTGCTTTCACATTCAATATTGCAACTAGTATGATTTCCCCATGCCTACAAATTGATACCGGTATGCTAAAACTGATCTAGCTAATCAATTTTGTGTTGCTAGAATTGCCTTACAACATGAAAGTGATATAACCTATTTGTATTGAAATAAATTGATATATTTTCTTTTACTTAGAATATGTAACTACAACATTTCCTGGAACTGAGAAGACAGCTATAAGGAATGCAATTTGCCAGAAGATAAAAGATGAGAAGATGGTGTGCAAAAGAAAAATTATGAATGAACTGGATAAGTGTTTTTAAATGTTAGCTAGTTAAACTGCAATTATTTTTATGTATATATGTCTAATCCCTGTATATTTGTTAAAGTTCTGTTAACTTTTGTATTTAGATTTTAATGTATAAACATTAAATTTTCAATTCTATAATTGGTATTTTGTGTTGAATTTCATACATCATGCAGTGATTTCATAATCATCTTAAAATTTCATACGTGAAACATTTCATATATGAAATATTCCTGGGTGCATCATATGAAATGGTTTCACATATGAAATGATTTCACATGTGAAATGTTTCATATATGAAGTGTTTCAATTCCACACAAGGTTTCACATGTGAAATGATTTCACATATGAAAGTTTTCACACATGAAATGATTTCACATGTGAAATGTTTCACATGTGAAATCATTTCATATGTGAAATGTTTCATATATGAAGTGTTTCAATTCCACACAAGAGTTTCACATGTGAAATATTTCATATGTGAAATTGTCATGTGAAATTTTCGTAAGGGAATCTAATTAATTTAGCTGTTTTGTTCAGTGAGACAGGTTTTTTAACTGTAACTATGCAACCAGTTGGCTTATATCAATGATTAGCCCAGCAAAATACTTGTCTTATTTCACTTTATAAGTTACAGAAGTTTCATGTGTGCCTGAACTCTTCTTAGTTACTTAAGGGGGCTAGATGTGTTTTTCATAGTTTAATTATTTGTTTTCAAACACAAAACACTACTTTAAACTAATGTGTAGCTCTAAATAATGTTCCTAGATGCTTAGTTTTATATAGAACTTAATTCAGGGTGCATTAATATTACTCTACTTCATTTTTATGTGATATTGTTAAGGGGTTTACTTGTTACAGAGAGTTTTCACCTGGCAACGTAGGGAATCTAATTAATTTAGCTGTTTTGTTCAGAGAGACATGTTTTTTAACTGTAACTATGGAACCAGTTAGCTTATATCAATGATTAGCCCAGCAAAATACTTGTCTTGTTTCACTTTATAAGTTACAGAAGTTTCATGTGTGCCTGAACTCTTCTTAGTTACTTAAGGGGGCTAGATGTGTTTTTCATAGTTTAATTATTTGTTTTCAAACACAAATCACTACTTTAAACTAATGTGTAGTTCTAAATAATGTTGTTGTGTGTTTAGTTTTACTTAGAACATAATTCAGGGTGCATTAATATTACTGTACGTAATTTTTATGTGATTTGGGTAAGTGGTTTACTTGTTACAGAGAGTTTTCACATGCCAACTTAGGGAATCTAATTAATTTAGCTGTTTTGTTCAGTGAGACATGTTTTTTAACTGTAACTATGGAACCAGTTGGCTTATATCAATGATTAGCCCAGCAAAATACTTGTCTCTTTTCACTTTATAAGTTACAGCAGTTTCATGGATGCCTGAATTCTTCTTAGCTACTTAAGGGGGCTAGATGTGTTTTTCATAGTTGCATACGCATACGCATACGCATACGCATACGCATACGCATACGCATACGCATACGCATACGCATACGCATACGCATACGCATACGCTTACGCTTACGCTTACGCTTACGCTTACGCATACGCATACGCATACGCATACGCATACGCATACACATACACATACACATACACATATATATATATATATATATATATATATATAGGGCTCTTGCATGTACAGTAATACTGTAACTATTGGTAACATTTACATTTTTGTCCATAGCACAAGATATTTTGCTCATAAGACATATCATTGAGGAGTTTGCTGCAATTTATGAAGATGAGTTGCAAGACTGGTTATTTTTTTTCACTGGAAGAACGTTTTCTTTATCATCTATCCGCAGATGCTTGCAGAAAATGGGTTGGTCGAGAAGGAAGGTACCAATATTGCAAAATTAGCTAATTGTTATATAAAAAAAATCATATGTAACTGATGATATATCATAAAAAATATCATGAAAAAATGAATATGTAGTAACTGCTAAAATTGTGAGAAATATGGCTTGAATGTATTTTGCTTTCATTTTAGTTAAACATTTATGCAGTTCAAAGGAGTGACATGAAAAGAGCAGAATATCGTAGAAGGATAGCACAGTTTCAGCCTCATCAATTTATTTTTATTGATGAATCTTCAAAGGATGATAGAACATTTCAGGTGACTCACAGTTCTTATTTAGATAATGTTACTTAAAACAGTACAGGCAAATTCATTATAACAATTCAGGTGGTAATGGTTCCTAGATTTTTTCAGTGGTAAATATAGGGAAGAGGAAATGGGCTGGGGTAGTGCACACTCAAGTGAAGTCTGCATGTGCCTGAAAAACTGTGTATTCTGTTTTGGAATCTAAAAATTTTTTAAAATGTGTCTTTAATATGCTGGAGATGCCTTATTTAGGAGAACAAATTATTTTACTATATAATTATAATTATACTATACCATACAAATTCACTTTCCTGTCTGTCTTGTGGCATCCTCACTCAGTAGTCCTCACCTCATCCACACTACCCCACCCCATAAACTACACCTGAATTACACTACTTTTTTATGTTGTCCCTGCCTGTCTTGTAATTACTGAGTTACTTTCAAAGAGACGATATGGTCGTGGATTAAAAGGCAGAAGAATTTCAGTGAGAGGAAACTTTACACGTGGAAAACGCTACAGTGTGTTATGTGCAATCAGTAATCTTGGTGTAAAGGCAGCACATTCTATTCTTGGGTCATACGATATGGAACAATTTGAATTTGCAATGGAACATTTTGTAATACCATATGTTGGCTCAGTTGCAAGAAATGAACCATGTTCAGTGGTTGTGATGGACAATTGCAGCATTCACAACTCAAATAAAACTATTGAAACGATCAGGAAGAAAGGAGGAGTTGTATTCTTTCTACCGTATGGAAAAAATAAAACTGGATGATTTTTCTGTTGGTATTCTTCTTGTCATCAACATAATTCAAGTTCATCACTCTTTTACAGACCCTATTCTCCTGATATGAATCCGATTGAGGAAGCTTTTGGAACTGCCAAAACATGGCTACAGAGAAATGACAATATTTGTGTGAAATATCCAAAGAGGTGTTTTGAAATAGCTCTGGCACAGGTCTGCATATAATTATGTTGATTATAATGATTTCAATCTCTACCAAAGTTATGAATAAAAGAAACACGTACATGTACTGCATATGTTGTGAACATTCTTTGTAAAAAAATATTTTCCAGATAACTGCAAAACAATGTACCGGATTTTTTAAGGACAGTGGATATTTTTAAGAATTTCAACAAGTAAGAAGGAAGTTAATAACAAAGGTTGTTTATTAAGCAACCGAAGTTTAGCAATCTAACAAATAAGTACATAAATCAGCAGAGTTCAACAACTTAGTCTCACATCATAACAACTCAACACTACTAGTACATAAATTTGTCTAGTAATACATTAGCTAACAAATCTAACTGTATGGCTATATCACTGTCATCAATGGCTCAGTGCACTTTCTATGGCTTTTTTAAGTATTTCCTGGTAACCTTCATCGATTCCTAACTTCTTCATAATATTATCACCTAAGCTTGGATGAATTAGGCTAGCAAGGATGGGGCCATCGACACCTGTTTTCGTAAAATAAACTTTCAGTGAACTTAGACGATTTTCTTCTAAAAAAGCCAAGCAATCGAATTTTGTAAAACTTGCAATATTTTTCCTCCTTTCTTCGTTTTCAGCACCATGTGAGCTACTAGAAGATGTTGATGGTGTTGCATGACTCACAGAAGTGGAAAGCAGCTGATGGCTAGGAAAACAGGATGTGGAAGAACTTGGAGATGGCATCTAAATAAATTGATTTTTTGTTAATTTTTTGTACAGCATAATTTTGCTTTCTGCTAATTGAATTATGAAGACAGTGGAGACTTTTCAATCAAAGGAAGTTCTTTTTTTCTCATGGAATAACCTTAATTGCAGAGATTAAAAATTTAATAATAAATGCAACTATCAATAAAATCTAATAAGACATACCTGTTGTTGCATTATTGGAACACGTTGATTACTTAGTAAGGCTAAAAGGGAAGTTTGGAAGAGCTCAGTGGTGTGCTGATTCTGAATCATCATTGCTTTAAGTAGATCACCAGTACTGGGCACTATCTGAACTTTGAGGGACAGACAATTGTCCTTTCTCATGGATTTTTTAGGAAGCACTCCAACCAGATCAATGTAACCTCCCCAGTTTGGTTCATCACCAATGCCAGCAGATTTCCCTTCGAGTATGCAATCAGTCCATACTTTTAAATGTTTGACACTGAATCTACTTAGCGTTCCTTTTTTCTCCAAATCCTTTACCAATTGAATGTGGATCTCATTCCAATGGTCATTGCTAGTCTTTTTTGGCTGCGCTGCTTCTTCTGCCATCTCAACAAGGTCCAAATCTCTTATATCTGCATCACTCCATTCATCAGTTCCTTGTGAAAATGGAAGGCTTCGTTTTCTTTGTTGAGGTGCATGGTTCTTACTGGTTTCTAAAAATATATTGTACCAAATATTTACATAATTCACATACTCCATTTAAATAATTGTATATAATAGCCAGAAAATATTTGCCACAAACCTGGTCTATCACAGAATTGACTGCAATTTCCGCTTACAATTATACTCTTTTTTGCAGTTTTGAAAATCTGCTTCTGTCTTCAGCTGTACAAGTTGTTTAGTTCCTTTACGAAGCCAAAATAAACCATTGGCTGGTACATATATGACAGGGCCAGTTTGGTGAGATCTTAACAAGGCTTTCAGGCCAGCAACATTGCAATCCTGTGCAACATCATGAAGAACAGTCAATGTCTTTGAAAGCTTTGGGTCACCTTTGGCAGTTTTAGTAACCTCAAATAAATAGACATCCATATTCTCAATAGGTGCAGGCCTAGCATTATTGCGTTCCATTATTCTTGGTGAACGACCAGGACTCATTCCTTAAAGAAGTATAAATGTAGTGTTTAGTTTTATCATATTTCTATTTTCCATTAACCCATGTCTTTCTGTCATCAATTACTGGTGGAATATTTGCCAGAAAACACACTTACCAGGTGATTCAATGCTGGATGTTGATGTTGGTGAAGCTGGAACAGGTTTCTCTGGTATAAGATCGACTGCTAATACCATAGTGGATTTTCTTGAACGACGCCCACACTCACTGGTGATGGGGTATTCTGCTAACAATGCGGGGATATCGTTATCTGAGTGCATTGCAACCAATTGCTTGCTCTTTCCACTTTTCTTGAAAAAAATACGCGACACTATCATGTGTTTCTTGCCAAGGCGATTGCGTACATAATCGTCGATACACAAGCAGAGAGTTGTTCGTAAGTCCAACGATGAGGCAATATAAATGGCGTTTGTTCAACACCGTACGCTTTGCCACCCTTGGTTTCCAAATACAGACAAACCTCTCTCTGGAAAGTAGAAAGTTACACAAATTTTTTCAGCATCCAGATGTAAGAAAATTATTCATATATTCATATATTCATATGCTCATATATTCACATTCTTCATATATCACGATCTTCCGTAAGTCGTACGTTTTTACCCCAATGCACCTAAACATATGGCAGAAAGAAGGTTTTTACATTAGTGTATACCGTTTCATTTCCATAGTTTTCCACGATTTGTGTGTCTTCCAAAGCTGGCAACTGCATATTGACAACGCTTTCACCACTCTCTGAATCCTCCATTTTGGGTTCAATAGCGAGCAACGTGTTTCGAGCTCCGCCCACTGTAATTTGATTGACGGAACAGAAAATCCAAAACGCAACCGAACGTTGAGAGACTTCTGACAATCAGGAGTCCCGATACAACGGTTTTTGCAGTAAGAGGTTTACTCATTACAGAGAGTTTTCACATGGCAACTTAGGGAATCTAATTAATTTAGCTGTTTTGTTCAGTGAGACAGGTTTTTTAACTGTAACTATGGAACCAGTTGGCTTATATCAATGATTAGCCCAGCAAAGTACTTGTCTTATTTCACTTTATAAGTTACAGAAGTTTCATGTGTGCCTGAACTCTTCTAAGCTACTTAAGGGGGCTAGATGTGTTTTTCATAGTTTAATTATTTTTTTTCAATCACAAAACACTACTTTAAACTAATGTGTAGTTCTAAATAATGTTGTTATGTGTTTAGTTTTACTTAGAACTTAATTCAGGGTGCATTAATATTACTGTACGTAATTTTTATGAGATTTGGGTAAGCGGTTTATTTGTTACAGGAAGTTTTCACCTGGTAACTTAGTGAGTATAATTAAGTTAGCTGTTTCGTTCAGTCAGACATGTTTTTTAACTGTAACTATGGCACCAGTTGGCTTTTATCAATGATTAGCCCAGCAAAATACTTGTCTCTTTTCACTTTATAAGTTACAGCAGTTTCATGCGTGCCTGAACTGTTATTACTTACTTAAGGGGGCTTGATGTGTTTTTTCATGGTTTAATTATTTCTTTTCAAACACAAAACACTACTTTAAACTAATGTGTAGCTCTAAATAATGTTCCTACATGCTTAGTTTTATATAGAACTTAATTCGAGGTGCATTAATATTACTCTACTTCATTTTTATGTGATATGGTTAAGGGGTTTACTTGTTACAGAGAGTTTTCACCTGGCAACGTAGGGAATCTAATTAATTTAGCTGTTTTGTTCAGAGAGACATGTTTTTTAACTGTAACTATGGAACCAGTTGGCTTATATCAATGATTAGCCCAGCAAAATACTTGTCCTGTTTCACTTTATAAGTTACAGAAGTTTCATGTGTGCCTGAACTCTTCTTAGCTACTTAAGGGGGCTAGATGTGTTTTTCATAGTTTAATTATTTGTTTTCAAACACAAATCACTACTTTAAACTAATGTGTAGTTCTAAATAATGTTGTTATGTGTTTAGTTTTACTTAGAACTTAATTCAGGGTGCATTAATATTACTGTACGTAATTTTTATGAGATTTGGGTAAGTGGTTTACTTGTTACAGGAAGTTTTCACCTGGTAACTTAGTGAGTATAATTAAGTTAGCTGTTTCGTTCAGTCAGACATGTTTTTTAACTGTAACTATGGAACCAGTTGGCTTATATCAATGATTAGCCCAGCAAAATACTTGTTTTGTTTCACTTTATAAGTTACAGAAGTTTCATGTGTGCCTGAACTCTTCTTAGCTACTTAAGGGGGCTAGATGTGTTTTTTCATAGTTTAATTATTTGTTTTCAAACACAAATCACCAGTTTAAACTAATGTGTAGCTCTAAATAATGTTCCTACATTCTTAGTTTTATATAGAACTTAATTCAGGGTGCATTAGTATTACTCTACTTCATTTTTATGTGATATGGTTAAGAGGTTTACTCATTACAGAGAGTTTTCACATGCCAACTTAGGGAATCTAATTAATTTAGCTGTTTTGTTCAGTGAGACAGGTTTTTTAACTGTAACTATGGAACCAGTTGGCTTATATCAATGATTAGCCCAGCAAAGTACTTGTCTTATTTCACTTTATAAGTTACAGAAGTTTCATGTGTGCCTGAACTCTTCTTAGCCACTTAAGGGGGCTAGATGTGTTTTTCATAGTTTAATTATTTGTTTTCAAACACAAATCACCAGTTTAAACTAACGTGTAGCTCTAAATAATGTTCTTACATGCTTAGTTTATATAGAACTTAATTCAAGGTGCATTAATATCTACTCTCATTTTTATTGTTATATGGTTAAGGGGTTTACTTGTTACAGAGAGTTTTCACCTGGCAACGTAGGGAATCTAATTAATTTAGCTGTTTTGTTCAGTGAGACAGGTTTTTAACTGTAACTATGGAACCAGTTAGCTTATATCAATGATTAGCCAAGCAAAATACTGTCTTGTTTCACTTTTTCACTAAATAATGTTCTTACATGCTTAGTTTATATAGAATTAATTCAGGGTGCATTAATATTACTCTACTTCATTTTATGTGATATGGTTAAGGGGTTTACTTGTTACAGAGAGTTTTCACCTGGCAACGTAGGGAATCTAACTAATTTAGCTGTTTTGTTCAGTGAGACAGGTTTTTTAACTGTAACTATGGAACCAGTTAGCTTATATCAATGATTAGCCAAGCAAAATACTTGTCTTGTTTCACTTTATAACTTACAGAAGTTTCATGTGTCCCTGAACTCTTCTAAGCTACTTAAGGGGGCTAGATGTGTTTTTCATAGTTTAATTATTTGTTTTCAAACACAATCACCAGTTAAACTAACGTGTAGCTCTAAATAATGTTCTTACAT